CACGATTAGGAGTGACAGAGCTGAACTTTTCCATTGAAAATCAAACTAAATTTGGACTTGAAATTTAAGTATGCAAAATAAAGTCAGAAACATTTTTGAAATGCCAGAGAACAAGAGTATGTCTGATAAAGCCAGAAGAAAGCCAAGTGATGACCATAATCTTTTGGGCATTTTGTCATCCAAGGCCACGTTACTCTCATCTTGTCTGTGTGCAAATATCACGTTCGTCTGCTTGATTTGGGTAACAACCTGGCCAACCGCCTGTTTTTAATTTTGAACTATGAACAAACAAAATCTGTTTCTTCGTCAGCATGGAATGTGGTCAAACAAACAAGGGAGATTAATGTTCTTTTGCAATAAACTTATTCTATTTAATGGCACCAGAAAATACATGTGCAAACCTACGATATACAGTACGGACCAATCATTAAACATCTTAAGCAGTTGACTATTCAAAGCAGGGTTCATTTCCCCTGAATTATAATTCTTAAGGATAGCAATACATGTTGGGTGATTCTATTCTTTCAGCTTTGTGGGGAAGAGTCTTAGGAAGGCCAAGTTAACTAAGTAAGGCCCATAATAAAATAGTTGTACGAATTTGGTGTGGAAGAACTTGAAAAATGACTGCCGCTGCACTGGGATGACCTGGAATGGCAACAAATACCCATAGACAGACAACAATATATTTTAAGAAATCTAGACGAGTGAAGAGTTGAACTTCATGTCGATGAAATTGTTTGTTGTCCCCATTGTGTATGAAAACAGTGAAAGATAAATTGGAGTTTATTCCTCACTTCCTGCAGCCAAGCGCTATTGCAAGAACTCCAGCTCAGCCAGCAGCACCACCAGCACCTACGCTCCCAGCAGCAGCAGCAGCAGTCTGAGCTGTGGAGGTGGAGGAGGGGGTGTGGGAGGAGGTGGTGGCAGCAGCGCCAGCAGCACCTGCAGCAAAAGCAGCTTCGACTACAACCACGACATGGAGGCTGCGCACATGGCCGCCACGGCCATCCTCAACCTGTCTACGCGCTGCCGGGAGATGCCCCATGGTATGGGAGGAAAGCCCCAAGATCTGTGCTCGCAGGTAAGAGACCAGAAGATATGACAGCAATATCCTTTTAGCCTTTTGAATTGTGTGGGTTTTTTTTTTGTTTTTGTTTTTGTTTTTTTTTTTAGGCGCACCAACCACTTAACGAAGCAAGCTACATAGTCTGCACTGTTTGCTTGAAAAATAGTAATCTAATTAATATTTCTTCAGAAATGTCATTCAACAGAAATTATTCATTGATTAATTATTGACATTATTCACTGATTCACAAATTCATTATAAAACATACGGCAATCAGATAATTAGGATTGTTTAGATTTTTTTTTTTTAGCTCATCAATTCAAATACTTTCTTTAAAATAATGTGCCTCCACGAGTCTAGACATTACATTCTGATTATTAATTCAATTAATGGAATATTTTTTAAAAATCCACTATTTTTTATCCATCACAGTAGACGGCCATTTTGCCTTGTACTGACACCTGCTGGTGACTGAAAATGACATCACAGTGCCTAAGGGCTCAACTTGCAAACTCCACATGACGAAACCCTTAAAACAGGTGAGCCGTGATGTCATTACTTAGGCACTGTGACCTAAATTTCAGTCGACGGCAAGTGGCTGTACAAGGCAAAATGGCTGCCCACTGAGATGCTTAAATCATATTCCACAAATACAATATTAGAACCCATCATCAGATTGTTGTTTTTTTTTTTTTTACTTGACTGCCCCATTTATGTAACTGCACTACAAGCCAAACAAATTGCATATGCCTGACTAAAAGGGTCTAAGCCAAAAGTCAAAAAACGGTTCCATTCACCTGGCTGTTTGGATGGTATCGACGGCTGTGTATCCCAACCTTTCATGAGCCAAGGCACCCATTTTACAGTATATTGGAAAAAAAATCTGCACACCAAAAATTTCACAATAAGCATGACTCCGAATATAACTATGTTGACTTTGTATCAATTTAATTACAAATTGACTAAAGTGCGAAATCCGGGCCTGTTGAATTTTAACACAAAGTTGATATACTTTCAGGAAGCCATGACTTATTCTGTTGTATGAATCAAGCGGATAAACAGGTTCACTGTACCTTCTGTCATTTGAATGAATGAATGAACGAATGAATGAATCTATAGTCAGTGCAAGTGCACAAAGTACCAAGCAACAAAACGGACTTTTTATTAATGGACTTGGATAAATTTGGATTTAATAGAAGCGTGTTTAAATGTTATGCTTGTTACTAGAAATGATTAAATATACATTAATAATTAATAAATAATTATTATCAGACAAATTAAGAGAAATCATCTCATCATCTCGCAGCTCACTGGTGTACCACAGCATCCCAGCTTAGAATCACTGACCTAAGGACAGAGAACAAACATACTTCCAAAATGACAGTGGAACCTCTAGAGTTGACGATAATTCATTTCTGCATGCCAGTTGATTTCTTTTGAAACAATTTTACTACAACACTACATGTCAGGTGCCTGGTGTGACATCAGGGATTTCGGGTTTTTGCATGACTTCGATGCATTTTCTCCCAAAATTCTGGTCAAAGTGAATTTTACAACATGCGCATCATAACTATGCAAAATGAATATTTTCTATTCAATGAAAAGTACACGCATTTGTCTTTTAAATCTTCTCTCGATGCCCCTGTGCAGAGTTGCCCGTGGCCCTTGGGAGTTCCTCAAGGTTGAAAATGTCCCCATATATGACCCTGCAGCCTCATGTGTCCGCATCTAAATGAGGCTCGATCTCCTGTAGCAGTCACGGACATGTCTATCCATAGATTATCTCTCTACTTCTTTCATTAGATAAGTGCTGGCAGAGAAACCTGTCAGAGATAGGGAGACTTCACCCATATGCTCTAAATAGACAGACAGACACACATAGACAAAGCTCCATGACTGCGACTTATACCCAGGAGTCAGCGGGGCTTTTTTTTTTTTCCTTTGCGGGGATCAGATAGGAGCAGGACCAAGCGTCGTTTGACATAGCATAAGCCCAGTGTGTCATTTTTGAGAAGATAAGGTGACACTGTTTCTGTATTATCTGTGCCGAGATGCTGAGCGGGGAAAATGGTGGCAGGAGAGAGAGAGAGAGAGAGAGAGAGAGAGAGAGGTGGGGGGGGGTCTCTAATGCTTGATCAATGCCAATGTTGACGATGTAGACTATGATTATGCTGATGATAAACAAAGCGAGATACAGATTTTTTTTGGCGGGGGGGCAATTTCTAAAAGTCACAATGCACACAATTCAGAAGGGAAGAAAATATACAACAGTACAGTACAGAACAGGAAGAGGAGAGAATTGGAAGAGAAGCCAAAAGCCACGTAATTTCAAAGCAAAGTGGAAAGGAATAAAGTTGGCAGGAACAAACACCTGCAGCAGTTAGGACTTCCTGTGGCGCTAAATCATTTCATCGTCAGTCCTATACATTGGGGCCAGACAGGCAGGATGCTCCCGGGGCAGGACGGGAAGACAGGAGACTTCACAGGGCTTTTTTCCACTCCTTGGTTTCTCATTCTCTTTCATCTCAGCACCTCAGGTCGTGCCAAGCACTACTCCTCTCTGACTATCAGTGCTCTTCACACACACACACACACACACACACACACACACACACACACACACACACACACACACCCACAAACAAAAATACACGCAATCTCTTGTAGCTAGTATTTCAAATGAATTAGTTTCATGTGTTGTACAGCAACATCTAATCCCGGAATAGTTTCTTTTTAGGCAGGCTATGATTTTGTCTCTTTTCTAGCTAAATGGCCAACATGATCTTGCACTGTGACATTTCCCCAAAAAAAAAAAAAAATCCACCGTACATTCTGAACCGGGTTGCCAGCCAACGCAGAGCTCATATAAACAAAACCATTCATACTCACAGGGACAGTTTGGAGTGTTCAATGAACCTATAATGCATGTTTTTAGAAAACAGACACAGGGAGAACAACACTGTACATTCTCAACCTCTGTACTGTGGGGCGGATGTGCTAACCACTCGTGCCACTGTAATTGCACTCAACCTAAATAAGTTCATTTTCAAGTAAAGGACTATCTGTTTTGGGAGATTGAGTTTTCTGATCCACATTGCACACATGAACACATTTTTCAGAGCATTTCCTCCATTTATGTGTGTGATTACAGTTACAAGAAAATATCTCATGCAAGCTAACAAAAAAAGGAGGACATAAATCAGGGCTGTTAATGCTCCGACATGATGACATTCTATGGATGTATACCTCGATACTCGGACAATGTGTGTGTGTGTGTGTGGGGGGGGGGGGGGGGAAATACAATTTGACTTTAAGTTTTGACATTAGCTCAAATGAGAAACGTTTTAACTTTGTGGTGTGGTTCATAAAAAGGGTGAAGAAAGAAAAATAAATGCAACTAGTTTGCATGAAAAGTACACGTCAACAAGGTGATGGCTGCTGCAGATAAGCCAACTCCTACTGCACAACGCCCTGTCTGTCAAGTCATTGTGAGCAAGATTAGGCTAAAGAGTTGAGACTTTTACAAAAACACATTTAATTCTATCACAACTTTGAAAAAGCAGTGCAGCGCATGACTCATGGGACTGTTTGAGTTTGTAGGCGCTCGGGGCCAGTGTTAACCATTGTTTGTACAGTACTTTTAAAACTGCTGAGAAACATTTGTGACAGTTGGCCAACATGCACAAAGTTTAAAGCCCACGGCTTTATAGAAGGTTTATTTCCTCAACAAGAACTGCTACAGCTCCCAAAGAGATGAAACGACCTCATCGGTCAACCATATACAGTCAGAGACAAGCCGCCATATAATGAGCCGCTGACATGGTAGCAGAGGTCGAGCCACAGAAGGGTTCACTAAAGGAGAAGGGGCACATCTTCGCATCTTATCATTATTTTATCATGAGGGGTTGAGTCATGCTATCGGATCTACCGCAGTCACTGACAAGGCGGTAGAAAAGCCACTCAATGCAAATTAGGTGCATTTGTGACCTCGGCGGTTGCTCATGTTACATGAGAGATTGTGGCTCACAAATATTCACCCCAAAGGTGATTGACAGGGTTGAGTCTCTAGAGTTCTTCTGAACCAAACTCATCCAACCATGACCGGACCATACGTTGTTGCCCTCGAGGCGGTCATGTAAGAGTTAGAGGGCCCTGCCCAAAACGTCCCTACACGATTGGAGATAAAGAATTAAGATTCAGGGGCAACTAAGGTTTTGAAAAACATTGAATACATGAGTGTGTCCCAAGACTTTTGTTCATAACTAATAAACAGAATGCCCCCCACTAATTTAGCATCATTTAATAGTCTAATAATATAGGCAGTTCTTGTTCAAACAGTCTCAAATAGTAAATTCCACATTAATCTTAAACTTAACATCAAATCCCATGTTTCACATGTTCTTTTTTCACGGTCAAGAATGACATTTCCGACTAATGAAAGGCCAAGTTGCGTGTCATAATATGCTCGGACATTGGCGAAGAAGCGTGTGCAGTTTGCATTTTCGAGGTAATATATATATATTTTTTTAATTAAAAAAAGAGGAAGGCTCTCTGTGCAGGACAAATGGATCTGGATAACCATCAGTATCACACAACTCTGCACACAAATTTCCCTCTTGTTTGTGTTGGAATGTATCCTAACACACAAAATGTTTTTCTTTATACAGTAGCTAGTAAATGTCATTCTTCTACCTGAAAAAAAGAGCAAGCACAACATTTTACAAGTTATGAAACTACATAATGAGGGGCATTTTTTTCAGAACACCCCATATTTTAACATCAAAGTTCTTCTCACGCACCCAGCGCAATTAAGTCAGTACGTCACAGAGGTTTTGGCTTGTGACACCGGGACACCCCACCCCAAGGGACAACGTCGGCTCCAATCAGCATTATTACTTGTCAGAGGGGGCAAAGGGAAGAGGTGGAGGAGAAATATGAATCCAAAGTTAGACAGATTAGTTGGACCACAACAACATTAGGTAGGACTGGAAAATCTAATGAGGTTCGATGGAAGCAATGTTGCCTTTTTTTCTTTTTTTTAAAAAAAAGATAATGCTCAGTTTTGTCAGATCGATCAAATAAATACAGTATCTTCATAAATGTGGTCATTGTTTGCCCGGGTGTTGAACTGAACTGTACTGAGAGATATTAGAAACATGTCTGATTTTGGCACAGTTCAGTTTTACAATCTGCATTACAAGTAAAATAATAATAATAATAATAATAATAATAATAATAATATTAATAATAATAATAATAATAAATTTTGAAAAAGAGCAAATAAAAAACATAAAACCCTCCGTGACAGGTCCAAATCAAAAATGAGCATGATTATATTTTTAAAAGCATTTTAAACAACTTGTATTGGCTCTTTTTGTTCAGCTTTTACCTCATGGTGTAATGGCAGATCGTCTCTTTTTTTTCTTTGTGGAAACATTAACAGTACATTTTCCAAAGGTGACGATGCACGAACAGAGAGGGGCAAGCAGTAAAGAAAATGTAGAATAGTGTTGCAGTGGCCCACTTTGTATTGGTGCACAGCAAGGTTGTCTCTCTATTTTTGGGTTTGCAGCGGTCTAGTTCCAGCCATTGCTGCTCATCGCAGCTCTCGAAGCCAAGCCCGAGTCCTCAGCCCCCCTCCCCCCTCTCCACCACCTCCATCCCATGACGTCCACTCACATTAGAGTCACACGCGTGCAACACACAGTAGCGCCAGCACACCCACTTGTGACTGCGCAGAACACTGGACACACTATACAGCAGGCTGGGAGGAAAGAGAGAGATACAGAGAAAAGAGATGCTCACAGAGGGATGTGCTTGTCCTTGAGCACTGATGTCCTTGTCCACTTTTGGCCCATTGCAAGGGCATACAGTAAAGTACCGGTATATGGTTTGTTATTCAGGACTGAATTCGTTTTTTTTTAAGTATATTGTTTGAGATAGCTGAATTAAAAAAAAAAAATCTGTCAATAGCAGCCTCTATTTCTCTTAAAATTCAGTCGTTGTTGAGTACAGCTCTGCGTACAGGATGTTTGACTGTTATTTAATCCCAAACTCTCTCTCTGTCTCTCTCTTCTCTCTTTCTATTTTGCATCCTGATGTATCATTTTTCCCCTTCCACCATTATCATTGGACTGAAACACCAAACACACACATGTATCACAAACACCACTCTCATTTTACCCCCTTCAAATACCACCGCATCCAGAGTCCCAGCCTGGATGTTGACGAGAACGGTACATTGGACCTGAGTATGAGCAAGCGTCTGTGCAGCGGCGGAGGGGACTCTGTGCTCACCCCACTAGAGCCCATGTCCCCCCAAAGGCAAGCTGCCCTTCTGGGCTCCCGCTGCTACGGCATGGGCGACGCTGCCGACTGTTGGGACCTGCCTGTAGACTACACCAAGATCAAACACATAGATGAGGACGAGAAAGAGGTAACGGAAGGAATATAAATATCTTTTGATTCATGTGACAAAATATGTTTTGATTTGGCAAATTCTTGGAACTGCTGCTACATCACTAAAATGTAATCGTCGCATTCAAAATATATTTTTCTAATCACGGAAATGGTGGCCTGTGATGCTTCTGTTACGGAGGAATGCTTTTTCTGATACACGAGACGAAACATTCACTATGACGTGTCTGTATAGCGAATATGTTCGGTCCTAATAGATTAATTAATCAGCAGCATGACAAAAACAAGGTTCATATGGTTGGATGAGTTTGGTATGGAAGGACCTGATGGCCCTGATTTCAACCACACCTAAGCCCTCACAAATGCTTCACAAAAAAGAAAAGAAAAAAAAAAGGACGCTTAAGTCTTGTTGAAAAGTGATACCTAAAATGGGGTGACTAGAATTTCCTGTCCCTGCAATGTTATGTCACTAATGTTGTCTGTGTAGTGTATTTTCATGTGATCTTGCCTCATTAAAAAAGAAAAAAAATAAACTCAATGAGGTTGAACAATGGTAATAAAGGTACGATTCTGCTGGGATGGTGGTGGTTTTGACGGCACAGATTGATGATGCAGATGCTTCACTTCAAACTGTCTGCTCTGTGTCTGAGCTTAAACTCTCGCTCCATGTACAGATTCCAAATTGTCAAACATTTGCATTGCTGTTTGAACATCTTCTGGGTCTCTCGTTTCCTGTCTTCACTCACTGTCAAATTTGGTACCACTCGAAAAGTAATAATTCAAAATTTCAGAAGCAGTCCTAGTGAATCTGCAAGTGAATTGACCCCAGAAGAAATATGCACTGAGGTATCTCCTCTGTTTGTGTCACGTTACCCACATCATGCTACTTTTTTTCTCACATTTTGCTCTTCTCTGAAATGAATTATGCAAAGTAGCACCTTGGGAGGGAGGCGGAATAGCTCATCTCATCAAAGAACTGCTGGAAATCAATGCACCACTGCTGGGTGCATCTGTCGATGTGCACAGACGCCCCAATGTGCTCTCTCTCTCTCTCTCTCTCTCTCTCTCTCTCTCTCTCTCTCTCTCTCTCTCTCTCTCTGACTCGCTCTCTTACACACTCTCTCTCTCTCTCCCCCCCCGCCGCTCTCTCTGCTCCGTATACGCATTGTCTGGGTGTGTTTATGTCTGTTTTAGTAGGATCCAAAGCTAGCCTATTTATTGCTATGCGTGCCTGCATTCTTCCTGTCTTCCTTTAATTGGGGAGGCCTAAAATGGCCCAGCCTCACACACACACACACGCACGCACGCACGCACGCACGCACGCACGCACGCACGCACGCACGCACGCACGCACGCACGCACGCACGCACGCACGCACGCACGCACGCACGCACGCACGCACGCACGCACGCACGCACGCACGCACGCACGCACGCACGCACGCACGCACGCACGCACGCACGCACGCACGCACGCACGCACGCACGCACGCACGCACGCACGCACGCACGCACGCACGCACGCACGCACGCACGCACGCACGCACGCACGCACGCACGCACGCACGCACACACACACACACACACGCGCGCGCACGCACAGTTTCGGTATACCGGAATCATTTCAGGGTTTGTCGGTTGATAGGCCATACTGTACTTACACTGTGGGCGTAGAAGAAAAAAAAAATAGGAGAGGGAATTGCATCAACTGCCGTCGTGCCCTGGTTACACAGTGCACACTGCAGACAAAGCACGGTCCTTTTTATGGTGATACGACACGACGTTTCCATCTAGTGGTTGAATTGTGCATTACAAGAACAAGCCCAGCCAACTGCCTGAATTGTTCTTAAGAAAGGGGAAAAAAATCAATACTGTATACCTGTACCTGTACCTGCAGTGAAGCTCACAAAGAAGATCCTATTCTGTCCGCAAGGTTAGGTTCAATAGCGACATCCATCAACATCCACATTGAGCTGCTATCCATCCATTTTCTACAGTGCTTGCCCTCATTTAGGTCACGGTTGAGCTGGAGCAGGTGACTTTGGGCAGGAGGCGTTATATATGCGCCCTGGACTTAGCAAGCACCAGTCAAATCCAGGGAACATATAGACAAACAATCATTCATTCTCTCACATCCTGATGTATGGACAATTTAGAGCATTCAATTAAAATAACACGTTTTTGGAATACCTGGAGAAAACTCAAAACTTGAAATAAAAAATCTTCAGTTGATGTTTATAAAATTTTTTTCTCCCTAGCTAGATACGTCATGTATCATACACGAGAGAGAGAGAGAGAGAGAGAGAGAGAGAGAGAGAGCGAGAGAGCGAGAGAGAGAGAGAGAGAGAGAGAGAGAGAGAGAGAGAGAGAGAGAGAGGTGGCCCAGTGCGTCGACCTGACAGTGCAGATGTACCAGGATCAATTCCAGCTCCAGCCTCCCTGTGTGGAGTTTGCATGTTCTCCCTGTGCCTGCACGGGTTTTGACCGGGTACTCCGGTTCCCTCCCACATTCCAAAAACATGCATGGCTGGCTGATTGAACATTACTAAATTGTCCCTAAGTGTGAGTGTGAGCACGGATGATTGTTCGTCTCTGTGTGCCCTGCTATTGGCTGGCAACTGGTTCAGGGTGTCCTCCGCCGACTGCCCGAAGACGGCTGGGATAGGTTCCAGCACACCCCGCGACCCTTGTGAGGATAAAGCAGATCTGAAAATGGATGGATGGATGGATGGATGGATAGAGAGAGAGAAAGACAGAGAGAGAGAGATAGATAGATAGATAGATAGATAAATCTGTGCTGCGTTCCCATTTCAAACCAAATTGATTATCAGCGGACAGGACGTACCGCTCATTTCTTTTTCCAGCACTTTAGACATGTTATTGGCAAGGGTTAGATAATATATGATGTATAGAATATAGTTAATTGAAGACTGGTCTGAAATGTCCATAGGTGTTAAGGTTCCCAAAAACACAGCAGGCGAGTGTATGCTTTGTTGTAGAACTGTAGTAAAATCGTCTCAAAATGTGCTTATGAGCCAAAGTAGTTTGTGAATGACATCATCTCTTCCTCTATTTTCTTCATCCTGCAGGATGACCTGGACCCCTTCCAAGACTTGCTGGAGGACCGCTCCTACACCACAGATGTCAACATGCCCAGTCCCAAACCCAAGTATGCCCAGTGCAAGGAGAGTAAGAAGGACCTGATAACGTAAGGGTCAGCCTACAATGACTTATCCATCTTATGTGTACACCTGTACACATTTGCACCCTCCATTTAGGCTCCATTCAGTCATTATTTGCAGAGCGCCACTTATCTTGCACTTTTCCATCCTGTTCTGTGTGCTTGCTATATTACTCCATTCAGCAGCTTTATATCCATTAGTCCACACTGAATCAGACTCATCTTTTTTTACCAAGTTAAAAACTCACAAGGAATTGCTCGCCGGTAGATGGTGCCTCTCTCGCAATTGAGGGGAAAAAAACACTACAGCATACTGGGTGAACAATGAAGCTTGCTTTTAGTTTCTCAGTTTTGATCATTCAGTCTGACATATCTAAAATGTAAATCGTATCAGGTGTCGCAACCACGAAATGAATCACAGACAGTGAAGCTAAACTGGAAACAATGAAAGCCAACAACAATGTCAATCAGCACCCTCTTATGCAATATTCATATTTTCTTCCCTCCCTTTGGCTTTATAAATCTGTCTATTTTTTCGGTGACAGATGTCCCACACCGGGGTGTGACGGAAGTGGTCACTTGACAAGCAATTTCGCCTCACATCGAAGGTGTGACTTCCTTTTCTCCTGGTGGTCTCCTACTTATTTATTGTTTTCAGCTTACCTCGACTATGCTGTCAATAGTCCTTTGACATCTGGCAAATTAGCAGACACAAATTAAGTCAGCACCAGTTTAAAGGCTACGTTGAGTCAAGATGGAAAATTACCAATCAACCTTCAAATCAATACTTGTCCGATTTCTTTTTCTTGAAATTTTTTTGAACCCTTTCGAGTTCGGCAGTTCACGCAGAATGACTGAGTGTTGCTTTTCAAATAGTTGGGCAAGAGTTGAACGATACTAGTCTTGAAGGTACACTTGACCTCTTGACACCTTTCTCATCAAGTCAATCATATCTTTGAAAATCTGCACACCAATGGATAATTTTAAATCTAAATTAGGGGCATTCTGAGGAGTGCGTGCATGTTTTCGGACACTAATACAGCAACTAATGACACGTCCTCTACATGTCGTGGCCGTTTTGCATTGTCCAGTATTTGTTCATGTGAATTTTGCTACAATTCTTTGTGTTCCTCCCGATTGTTTTGTTGCTAATGTCAGGGTGTATTTCTCAGTCTCTCAGGTTGTCCGTTAGCAGATAAAAGTATTCGGAGTATGCTGGCCAACAACGCACAAGAGCTCAAGTAAGGCGTGAGATGACTTGTGTGATTTCAGCTTCCGCCACTGGTCTTGTTTCAAATAAGACCAAGTGACAACAAAATTGGTCTCATTTCACAAATTTGAGAGCAAACAATGTGTGAAAGGAGATTTTGCTTTAGTCCCTTTATTCTCTCATCAGCGTTTCTGAATGCTAAATAGTTAACGCACCAGGTAGAGCACCTCACTTTTGAGGCAGAATTGCATCATCTCTTCCAGCCAATCCCCAAAGATAAATAATTGAATGTAATTTAACGATAGTACCTATATTATCATATTTTAACATATATATGTGTGTGTGTGTGTGTGCGTGTGTGTGTGTGTGTGTGTGTGTGTGTGTGTGTGTGTGTGTGTGTGTGTGTGTTAAAATATACTCAGCAAAACTTTTTCTTGACCTTTTTTCAAATTGTGTTTGGTGTTTTGGTGATTGATATTGCGTCTTTTATATATATATATATATATATTTTACAAAAGGTGTCCTATTTATTCTGAACCATCCTTGTACCATTTGCAACAATTTATCTGCAGCCTCTCAGGGTGTCCGCGGGCCAGGAAAAGTGGGATAAAGATCATCCACAGCAAAGAGAACAAGGAAGACCAAGAACCTATCAGGTAGCATAAAGATGACTTGACCCCTGAGATCAATACATATAGTACATACATATCAAGGTTATTGTAGTTAATGAAAACTAATAAAATTTCTGAAATGGCCAAAAAAAAGCCTTTCATTAAGAAAATAAAATTAGAGGGGTTAAAAAAAAATTACTGAAACTACATTTTACATTTATCAAACAAACCAAAACGAACTATATTATAATGAAAACATCCTGCATTTTCGTCTCTGTCAATTAATTTCATATATGAGCTTTCGGGGTTTATTTTTAATGTTGAATATTCTGTATTCACAGAAGATGGAAGGTCGAACAGTCAGTTGGGAATTTTACTTTACTTGACTTGCTTACACAATACTTTTTGTTACTTTTTTTTTTCATCTTGCAATCTTGAAGCATTTTCGAAAAATAAAAACTAACCAACCCACTGAAAAATGAAATAAAACTAACTGAATTTCAAAGACTAAAGCAAAAAACAAATTAAAACTGACTAGAATGAAAAATCCCTGTTATATCCCTGATACAAAAGCGAAGGTCCTAAAAATGCACAGTGAAAGAAAACAAATACATTAAACCATGGTCTTGCATCTGCATGGATGTTCAGGATGACAAATTTATAATGATGGGACCGAGATGCAGGTGAGACTTGCGCATGTTGCCATTCGGCGAGGTGAAAATTGTGCAGTGTTTGGATCGCTCCTGCAGAACCACCAGGAGAAGGGAGTGACTGGCAAGCAGAGAGGCAGGGAGAAATTGATTGGACGTTACCGAAATCCCTCAGTGGGCTTTTGCGGGCCTCACTCCTGCAGCCCAATTGATTTCTCTTGTGGTGCAGAACACAAACACCACACTTGGGCTCTTCTCAAACTAAATGTTTGTTGGCGGGTGATGTACCATGTGTGACTGCTAGAATGAGTGGCTGACATTGAACTATATGTGTACAGTATTTGGGCGCCGTCATACTGTATATTGAAGAACATGATATCAAAAGGTGGCAGCACGGTGGCCTAGTCATTAGTATGCCTGCCTGACAGTTCCGGAAGTTTGGGCTTCGAAGTCCGGCTCCAGCCCTCCCGTGCGGGGTTTTCATGTCCTCCTTCTGCTAGTGTATAGGTTTTCACCGGGTACTTTGGCTTTCTTCCACATTTCAAAAGCATGCATGTCAGGCGAAATAAAGACTCTAAATGGGCAACCCACGGCTCGCAACCCCCCCTGATTTTATGGTGCTCTTGGAGCCTTTTTCACTCTAAACTTAGCAGCATGCAGTTGTCAAGCCCATTCATTGTGTGTTTGGTGAACAGTGGTGACCTCAGAATGGAGCGCTGGTGAGCCAATATGGTCCAGCTCCAGCTGCAAATGGGTGTTCCCGTTTTGGATGAGGAACGTCTCGTGGAGCTGGTCCTTTCTCAAGAGGGGGTGACAAGCAATTTACTGCTATTTTGGCTGACTTAATTCCAGGTAACAGCAAGAGGACAATGGAAGAAGCCTTGATAAATACAGGTCAACTGATAGGTCAGCATTACCAAATATGGGCAGGCTGTTGTGCATGTGATAAAGGCCTCTTGCATGTGTACTAGCAAGACAAGCACCCGGAGAAAACCCACGCAGGCCCGGGGAGAACATGCAAACTCCACACAGGGAGGCCGGAGCTGGATTCGAACCCGGCACCTCTGCACTGTGAAGTCGACGTGCTAACCACTGGACTACCGGGCCGCCGGCAAGACAAGCACAAAAACACAAATCCAGCATATTCTGTGAGCACATACGCTGGTCTGTGCTAGGGGATATAATGTTAGGCATCATTTGAGCATTTCAAGGCTTCAAATCTTCATTGGTACGTCAGTTCCCTCCTTGCAATCATCAACCAGGAATTTTCCAGGGGGCTGAACTTCACAAGCACAGGGTGCTCTCTCTTCTAAAGGCCAGGCAGAAATGTCGACACAATTGCTCTCAAAATGTATGATCAACTTGCTTGGAACATTGCACATGATAAGAAGCCAAATAAAGAAGGGGAGTTCGACAAAACATGCAAAAGAGAGATCAGGAGTGAGGGGACAGGATTGCGGCAGTTGATGTGCGCCCATATGTATGATCTGGTGCTTTGCAATACTACGGTAAGAATTGTGGCTCTGAGCCTCTGACTGCTTGGCCACCCTTGCTCTAAATGTGTCTGTTAGCGTGGATGTTCATTTGTTTATACGGTATGTGCCCAACTATTGTCTGTCGACCAATCCAGTGTGAATGAACCCTTGCCCAAAGATAGGAGAGGCTTCAGCGAACCCGCGAACGTAATGAGGTCAGGGGCTATAAAAAAAAAAAAAAAAAAAATTAAAAAATGGAGAGATGGATATAAATGTGCGAACGTAATGAATTAAAAAAAATTAAAAAAAATTAAAAAATGGAGAGATGGATATAAATGGTTGCTGCGGCTTTGTGGAAAGTTTATTTGTAGTTTTGGTGCTCAAATTGAATAAGCATTGAAGAAAAAAAAAGTAAAGTACATGCAAATGAGATGATTATCTAGGTAAAGAAATCTGCTTCCATTGTTTTTGCCGTCTTTTATTTATGCATATCAAACATCAGCTGCTTCGTGTGAGGCAAATGTCCCCTATGAACATAGTACATAATTAGTTTGTGCATAAGAAAGCTTTTCTGGATGTGAGTGTTTCAGAGATTGAAACAGACAGACAGGTTTCAAGACATTAAAGTAATTGTCTGAGTATCAAATAAAATTTTTAATCACCAAAATTCACATGAACAAAATTCCTATTCAAAAGGGTATCTTTGAATGCTGTCACGGGAGAGGCCCCCAGAGATCAAATCAAACAAGAGGGAACTGGGAGGACAAAAAAGTACCACCACTTTTGCATTACAGTACTTCAATTTCCCCATTGAAAAAAAAAAATCAATGTCTGTATTCTTCAGTTAAAACGAGACGTGTAAAGTAAGAATTCTGCGTCATAACAAAACAATTAAATACTGTTCCAATAGACAGCAATTAACCTGTTTGTCCACCTCTTGCAATTCCTGCAACAGAATGAGAGTTTGGTGTTCAACTAAACAGGCCCACATTTCACAATGACTAAGTCACTTTGTGACATTTTTGGTTGGTGTTGTGCAGACATTATTCAAATATACTCGACATACATTTAAAATGTGCTCTGGCTCTAAAAAGGAACTACCGGTACAATTCTTAATTCTGCAATATGCTTCAGTTGACAGCGAAGGGAATTAAAAGGATATCTGAAAAAATCATCAATTTGATCTCAAATCAATACTTCACAATTTGCCGACAAAAATTATGCTTCTTGAGCCTGACATTATCTTCACCATAATCCATCCGGTGACTAATGACATCTGGAATGACTTCTATCCCGACTGCATCTGATTAGCAGCTGTGCTGTGATGCATTGCATGTGTGATGAGACGGTCAATGGGATGCCTGTAAAGTTGTTGATCATGTACAGGATAGTATTTTAGAACCAGGAAATATAAAGAAGGTCTTTCTTACACATGCTCACAAAATGATCAATTCTCTAAAGTTTAATAAAACCCGACAGTGGTTCTTGGATTTTCCTTAATTTTTTGTTTTTTTAATGTGCTGAGCGTCAACAATTAACGTTTTTGCATGTCCTTTCATAGCAGTTAGTCTTTTCCTGTAACGCTCAATGACGTGTGTGCCCCTGCCGTTTTTCTAAAGTGAGCAACCTGCTCCAGCAGTCCCAGGTTTGAAGGGTGCCTTCTCAAGATGGCATCTTTCATATCCTTCTACAGTTGTTCAATCGGATTTAGATCGGGGCTCATGGAAGACCATTTGAGAATATTCTGTTGTGTTGTTCTTTGCGAGTCACGGGTGTCGTTACCTGTGTCTGTTTTGAGTCATTATACTGTGTTTTGGACACTGGGCAGCGCATTCGGATCCAGAATGTTGTGATAGCCTTCTTAATTTTTGTACCCTGCACAGATTCAAAACATATTTGTAATTGTTCAGCTGATGTGACTTGCAAAATCTGTCCCAAAATCATTGTGTCTTTTGTTGTGACAAATTCCATTCTTGTCAGTTTCTGGTCAGTTCAGTGATCGTTCTTGCTTTTTTATTTCTTTAATATGGAAGGGTGGGAACAATTTTGCCTGTGCCATGTGGGCAACGAAAACAACACGTTACCTATTATGAAACATGGAGGGAGGTTCTTTTTTGAAGGCTGCTTTGCTTAATCCAGCACAGGCTATCTCATCTGTGCGAAATGAAATCTCAAGCCTATCAAGTCATCCTGAACAAACTATTGTCAGATAGATTGGCCTCGTCATGGCAGGTCATGTGTCCTTCAGTAGGATAAAGACCCCCAAAACACTGCTAAAAAACAAAAAAACTCCAGCATGCTTCGAACAAAACGTTAACCTATCATGAAGTGGTTCCTGATCGCCATCCTATTAACTATCTGGAAGGAGGTGAAACATGCAATCTGATCAACGCTGCGTAATTTGTTCACGTGGAACGGGTCGAAGGAAGTGCCAACGAAATCTGACATTTCGTTGAGAGTTACTAAAATCGTTGGATTGTCTCTAAGTGTCACTGTTACTTCACAAGAGAACAACAGAGAGTAATAGATGCTATAGCCAGTCGTGCATAGTAATGCAGCTGTGTCATTGACATGAGCAACACATGACCGTGAAGGTCTACTGTAATCAATATAAATGTGATGGAACAATGCAGATCAATAGAACTATTAGCATATGTCATCTGTGCATGTTTGACTCTTGACCCGGCAGGTGTCCTGTTCCTGGTTGTGATGGTCAGGGTCATGTGACAGGAAAGTATGCATCCCACAGAAGTGCGTCAGGATGTCCCATAGCTGCCAAGAGACAAAAAGATGGCTACCTAAATGGCATCCAGTTCACATGGAAGTCTGGCAAGACAGAGGGAATGTCCTGTCCCACGCCGGGCTGCGACGGCTCAGGTCATGTCAGCGGCAGCTTCCTGACACACCGAAGGTACTAATTAAGTATTTTTTTTTTTGGTTGCATGAATGTAATCGTATATTAGGCACATCTGTTGAATCAAATCAAGTTATTTCAACAACTCTGCATTCATTGTAACTTAATAAGCTAACTAAGATAATAGATCACCTTCTATTGTTTGGCAAGACTGTCTTATACCATTGCAGACAGGTTCTTAGCGCTTCATACGCTTCATGGTTTGAATCTCAGCTCTGTCTTTCTTGTGGGGAGATATTTTCCCTGCGCCTGTGTTGGTTTTCTCTGGGGCTTCCTCACACATCCCCAAAATATGCACGTTAGTTTTTTTTTGAAGACTCGAACTTGTCAAAAGGAGTAAACGTGAGTGTGAGCCCTAGGACTGACTAGTGACCAGTCCAGTCCACCCCATTCGTTAATGTCAGCCAGCTGGGAAAGGTTCCAGTTTACCCGCGACCAAAATGAGGACAAGCTCGACAGACATTGATGGACGTCACAAACTCAAGGCAAACTCTGGCCGCCACATCCTTTTATGTGCCCCGTGAAAGCAAATTATATGTATCGTCTTCCTCTTTCTTGCTAAAATATTGTTTGCACTTATAAAAATGAGCTATTGCAAGCATTTTTTGTTACCAATTCCCCCCTTAAAAAATACGGCATATGTAATATTTGAACAAACACTTTTTACTGGCCTCTGATTTCAAAACTCCATCACTTTGCTGTGTATATATAATGAGGTGATCATATATTTTGGGGGGTTAGAATTCATGGCCCTATCAAAGGAAGCCATAACTATGACAAAAACGAATTTGACACCCTTGACTCACCGCATTTTACTTGGACAAGTTGCAACCCAATAAAAATTGTGATTCCTCTGCTTTGCGGTTAGAATTTTGGCCACTTTGGAAGTGTAATAATCGCTTTTGCACTGGTGCATGTTTGACTGAGTTGCAGAATGGTTACCAAATTTCCTATGTCACTGCTTTTCCAGTCTGTCGGGCTGTCCGCGTGCCACCTCTGCCATGAGGAAAGCCAGGCTCTCTGGAATGGACATGCTCACAATTAAGCAGCAGCGCAGCAGCAATGGTACCAATATGACTTACATTCACTATAGGGACTTTCCAAATGTGTTGGCGATGTTTGTTGTAAATAATGACACACAGGAGTGACACCCAAACCAGAAGCTGCCTGCGCATAAATCTCACGTTGATTAACTGAGCTGACACTTAACTTTCGCCTTTGCTGAATTTTAGATACTCATAAATGATGAGAGAAGATCATAAGCCAAAGTTGTCTGCGATTCTTTCTTCCTTTAATTGACTAAAATGATCCATGTCAAATATTTCAGAGCGGTGAAGATTGTGTCTCATAATGTCCTTCATAATTCATTGCTGCACAGTTTTAATGTGTCATTTTAATGATCCCTATCAAATATGAAGTCGGCTGTAATATTTTAGACCTTTGCGAGGCCCTTGCGCTAAGGTGAGACTTGCTGCTCTGTAGGGTTGGATCACGAAGAGGAGCTCAAACATCTGGATGAAGAAATCAAAGACTTAAGTGACTCAAATTCACAAGTGGAAGCAGACATGATCAAACTCAGAACTCAGGTAGCACATTCAAACATTCACATTTCTCCCAGCTGACTGACTGACACATGCTGGTCATCTCTGTAAGCCTTGTGGCCTCCTCTTTCTTTTCAGATCACCACTATGGAGTCCAACTTGAAGTCCATGGAGGAGGAAAACAAGGTGATTGAACAGCAAAATGACTCTCTCCTGCATGAGCTGGCCAACCTCAGCCAGTCACTGGTTAACAGTTTAGCTAATGCCCAGCTCCCCCATATGGTAAGGGCCCCAAGGAGCAGCAAGCCAGACAGTTGCGGTTAATAGTCATTGCAGAGAGGCATGCTTGTGTCAATGTTTAGAATGTTGTATTCACATTCATGCTGTTGTTTGTGTGTGTGTGTGTGTGTGTGTGTGCATACCTTGGAAAAAAATAATGTCGGTTGGGTGCTCATACGAAGGATGGACATTGGTTACGTTTCAACAACTTTAATATTGTCCACAATTGAATCAGGTATCAAGAACATGAATATTGCACACAAAATCATCTTTTGATAACATGAATATTGTTTCGGTCTACATTTTCTGTTGGTTGGGATATTTATTTTTCTTTATGACTTCATTTAGAATTTACTAAGTATACTTTCAAATTAGATGTCTCACTACAGATAGTAGGATGATTTCATCTGAAAAGTAAAATTCCTCTAACACAAAACACAGAACACAAGTTAAGGCATTTTTAGGAACACATTTTCCGCAATAAAAATATACGTGCAAAATCTTGGAAGTCTTCACATCCACATTACATTTTAAAATGCGTTTACAGTAACCACGTTTACTGAGCCCAACTGCATAACAAGTTTAGTCTCAGGTGAAAATAGACAAAGCAAGAATACTGTAGTGAAGAGGAAACAAATGTACTCTCACAAGTTAAAACAATCAAAATTGTAAGTTAAAAAAAAAAAGACCCTGCAACATAGTCTCTACTCAAAGAGTCGGATCTTTGACTTTCAGACTAGACCAAATGTTGCCGTGTGAACACCCCTATAGCCTTCCAGATCCATAATGACTTTCAGAGTACCGGTAATCTCCAAAGTCTATTGGAGCTGAGACAGATAGTCAAGCTTATAAATGAAGCAGAACAGCAAGCTAACCGCCACTCTCATGTTTGGCAGGTTACCCAACACTGCCTGGTCTTTAAGCGTCACCCCACTCTCCTCTATCTCATTTGAGCCACATTGTCTGACAGAATAGACTCCCACTGAGGTGTCTTTGATGCCCCGATGGAACATAAAATGGTGTTCAGCCTCCAAGACACAGACAAAAAAAAAAATGGAATGTAGGTTGTGTTACTACAGTATATGTCACTGATGACAGAAAAGATGTCACCACACCAGTATTGTGTCTATGTCACAGACTTGTCTATTTCAAACTCATTTTAGGCAAGTCGTTCCACTGTTTTTCGGATACTTACCCCCCACACACACACACAACCATCCAACCCATTGTAGCCAGCTATGCAAATGTCTATGGCATATGTGCCCATGCAACAATATGATTCTAGCGGGGATGTGATTGGTTATTTACGTAAAGATATCATCTTGAGATTGAACTCGGGAACCCTTCATTCAACATAACCAGAGTAACCCAGATCATACTGTATTATAAACTTTCTGGCAATATGGTGTAAGTTTGTACATGCCATGCATTGAAGTGCTCTTGGTCAGAGAAAGCAAAAAAACAAAAAAAACAAACAAAAAACATCAACAAACCTGAAGTTCATGAGACTTTATTCTGTTAATGAGATCTAAGTCAAATTATTATTACTATTACTGACAATGCAGCGATGTGGTTTTGTAAGAGCAAAGTATACACAATCAACTGCCGTAGACCATTTACCACATAAAGAAAGGCAAAGATACGAGGTTCAAAAAAAATGACACATACACATTCCCACTTGAAGAATCAGGATTCAAACTGCCAACTCTACGTTTGCCCAACGAATGTTAACTCATTTCTGCTCTCAACAATACAGTACATTAGTTGGACTCAGCGCCACATATTCCATCCACAGATTTATTTGGTCCTATTGGAGATATCTGCACAGTCCCTTGATGATTGACTCTTACCACTTCAGTGTCCTCACTCTGGAAAGAGATCTTATGAGCTGGTTTTGGACTTTGGCACGGGAGAAATTTACCATGAGGTTGTAACACGTGTTAGGTTTTAGAATGGGAAGCTAGATGCTGTTCCATACTAAATATTTAACCCCGCCCCCACGGAGTGCTAAAGAAAAAACAATCAATACTTGCTTTCTCAATCTCTTTCAGGATGCTCTTGGTTCTAATCAGTCTTCCTTGCTTACTCAAATAACTTGATCAGTCGCCTGGATGGTTGGAGAGGAATCTCCTATTGAATACATTTATCAATTAAATAAGTTAGCCTGAATATGGGAAATTATAATTCATATATTGCTCATGTCTGAAAACATTAGGTTGAAGATGTGAAGCGGGACAGAGTAAGCACTTCCCAATAGCCTCAACCTTTTTTAGTCGAGAGATTTTACCAGTGGATGGTGCTGTTGAATTGTGCTTTCAGAGAGAAATGAACACTGTCGCATACGTGACAGCTGTTAAGTGATTGAGCTGCCAAAACGAATTATTGTCTTACTAAACAATTTTTTATTTTATTTTTGGCTAGTGAAAATGAAAGAAATGACCATATCTACACTTTGGAATCTAAGACTTGCATACTACAGTCTCCAGCTGCATCTTTATTACAAATGCAGTCAATGCTAAGGGATTTGTATAGTTAAACATCAGTATAAACATTTCTTGTATTCCTATAAATTCATGTAAGAGCCCGTATGTTCCTTATTCCCACAGAAACCGCTGCCGCACAAAGAACCTCTTCTTCGGAGTAACAGTTGCTTACAGCTCCACCAGCAAGTAAGGCTTTGGAATTCACTTTTACCCTCATAAGGTGCAAAAATATATAAATAATGAATTTTATGGACTGTTTTAGTAGACACAATACCAATGAACGGGTCTATTTTTTTTTTAATCATACCTAAGACGCACTGGGTTAAAAGGCGCATTATTTTTGTGAAGAATTGTATTTTAACCCTTTCAGGCATAACAGTTACTAGAGTGGACAGCTTATCATATTATCAGGTTACAGGGTGCATGAAGGGGTTAAATGGGTTATTCTAATTGTACCTTATATGTATTTGATCACTTTTACATTACTTGCTTGTGTTTGCATCCAAGCAAATTCTAACAATTCTGAGTATGTTCATATTTTTGTCCAAGGAGACCTTGGTTTATATTCTCTGTTCTATTTAATTCCAAAGAGGATGAAATAAGTTTATTACCATGCTTTTAGTGACCTTGTCTAAAATGAAATGGGGATGGGGCTGTTGGTTATTCCTGATTTAGAGAGTACGTGTGTCGTTGTACCGTATTTATTTTTAAGATAGAATCACGTCATATTCATCATAACTGATTCAACAGTGTTATCGTTTGCATTTGTGTACTGGTCTCAACAAAATAAAATAATGAGACGACAATTAACAAGAACAATTTAGATTTATACAGCGCTTTTCAAGGGACATGAGGACACTGTATTTGAAGGGGTAATTAAAAAGTGTATGTGTGGGGAAACGGTGCTTGTGTTGGCGTGTGTGTGTGTGTGTGTGTGTGTGTGTGTGTGTGTGTGTGTGTGTGTGTGTGTGTGTGTGTGTGTGTGTGTGTGCGTGTGTGTGTGTGTTCCCGTCTTATTGGAAATGAGGTTCCCTTTTATTTCCTATAGTTTGGTCAATTTACATACCGTATTAAACAGCTTAAAATTTGTGTGATTGACTTGTGAAGATCCATCCATTCATTCATTTTTACACCTCAGATCTGTGAGACAAACTTGCTCCCCACTCTTGCACCGTGATGCCAAACAAAAGAACCTGCCACATGTATTGACTTATTTAACGCCTGTGTTAGATCTTCAGATTCAGATCTATATGTTGCCGTAATCAGTCGTTCACATATATGTCAGGAGGAATGTGTTGCTCTAATCGCTTCATGTTGTGTTTTTGGATCTGCAGGAGCCCATTGAACAAAACTTTGATGCCTATGTTACTTCCTTAACGGACATGTACACCACCCAAGACCAATACCACAGTCCGGAAAACAAAACCTTGTTGGACAACATCAAGCAAGCGGTCCAAGGGATCCAAGTGTAACCATTTGTGAAAGGCAACCTCATGTTCACCCCTGCAAGATGTGGACCGTGTCTCCGAATTCCTCAAGAGCGGTGAAGATTCCATCTCCTCTGTGCAGAGCAGTTACATATAATGTACAGTGTTAAATATTCTAATAATAAAAAAAAAAGAGGTATTATGCTTCGCAAGAGACATCCGAGAATTTTGTTTCTTTTTTGGGGGGGAGGGGGTGGTTCTTGCTTCGAGGAAGAACACAAAAGCATAAACAGCAAAATAGTTTTTGAGGACATTTTGTACGTTTTCATATGAGCTGACAGTGTCATGTAATGTTTCTAACTGCTCACATATGCACATTTTAGTGTATACTACTGAACAGTAAGCTGATACTAACGGAACACGAGTTCTTTTTATTGCTTGACCACAGAGCATTTTAGATGACAAAACAAAAGCTGAGCTGGACAGTGATCTAAATGGACAAAAACACGTGAAGATGAAACAAATAATTTTTCCCTTCAAATGGGTGGTTTTACAGTACATGTCTTGCTTGTGGAGTGCTCAAGGGCAAGAGCTGGCTTGCAAATGACTTTTATTTATTTTTATTTTTGACAATGCTTGAAAAAATGTGTTTTCATTTATTCTAAAAAAAAAAAAAAAGTGTAGCTGAAGTTTGGGGGGTTTGTAATCGGTGCTGTAAATGAATCTGGAAGGGGAAACTGACCGGACGTTTGTATGAATGTATGTATGAGCAGTTATATTGTTAACATCATTACACGGAAACCCAATGGTGGAAATCCCATAATTTAGCAGACCAAATTAATTCCCAGGGGAAGAGATCTGTGCAGTGCATGTACGGTCACATGCACCTCATCCTATAATCTCAATTCCAACTGTTAAGACAACGACCTAGATATATCATTCACATCCTCCTATTAAATCCAAATTGTGTTGCTATAATCAAATAATATTTCAGCAATATAAAAAGTAAATAATTTGCTTATTATGGTTACGAGATACAATCTGAAAAGAGACAAAATATGGGGTATATGCAATTTCTTGTTTTTAAATCGTGAGGCAACACTAATCTTTTTAATATAGCTATGTAAAATAGTGATTTTTTTTTATACAAATCTTTTAATACAAAAAGTTTTTTAAAATAATGTAGGAGGAATCTGATTGTTGACCTCTCCAAGTGAAACGCTCATTTCACTTTTTTCAGTAATGTTTTGCACAGGGACACCTTCGTTTCCATGTTCTGATGTTCTTACAGAACTAAAAGCAGTACCCGAGAGACGAAAAGGAGGGTTTTGTAAAGAGTATTTATAGACAGCAGGACTTACAGGGTCACTGTCCCCACATATGTGCCAGTAGACTATTTGCACTTGTCCTTGAAGATATTATCCTTACATATGGCGACGTGCAATTTTCCAGGTGACCTCTTTGGCACACGATTGGAGCAACCAACAGCTTGGAGCCACTGTGTGGATTAAGTACCACTGAAAAAAGGAAGAACAGGGAAGAGGATGACTATTACTACAGCAGTTGTACTGTAGGTTATTGTAAAAACATGATCAATGTTCATTTTTGCTATGTTTTAGGAGGATGAAGTTAGCCCCCAGCAGCACTTTATATCTAATCATTGTACAAAGGAATTAAGTAATCAATCAATTCAAGGTTAAAAAAAAATCAAAAGAAAAAAAGCAGAAGACAAAAAAAATTTTAAAAAGGCCTGGTGAAACGAGACCTTTTGAGAGGGTGATACAATCCAGCATCACACACACCCAGCGTGACCGTCTGCACCTCTCCATTCTGTCGTTCAAGCTGTTAGCAGTCATCAGAATTTGCCTTGTCCGGAGCGAATGGAACCGAATCTCATGAACTTTGCCGCCCACTTTCCAGGACTCTCTCCTGCGCATCATCCATAACTGCATTCACCTTTTTTCAACGGCATTGTGTCTGCAGCTTTTTGCCAATATAGTGATGCTTCAGTCGAGTGATTGCTAGTGCAAGTTTTTTGGATTAATTTGTAATTATCAGTCAAAACGGAAAAAGGGATTCTTAAAGCACAAACTGCTCATCTGACGTTGGTACATAAATAACTAATCTGAAGAGTTATCTGTGACTACAAGGAACACAAAAAGGTTGCAAAATATTTCGATTGATGACTTTTCATTAAAAAAAAAAAGATTGTTGATCATCAGATTTTATGACTTTATTTGCACCATTTAGTTTTGAGATGGGTTTCAGTGACCATGAACAAAGACTGGATTTTGTATGAACTATTGTGCTCTCTGTGGAACTGAAGTTTGATTTATTTTTGTACGACACAGCATGGATTTGTTGACATTTTAATTTTGCTATAAATGTGTGAAATCACAAGTTGTTGTGATATTTCATTTATAAATTGTGAACTTTGTACAATTTTTGTCATGCTGGATGTTGACACATCTTACTCGAATAAAGAAAAATGTGTTGCCAGAGGCCTGTAAATTGCCTCATGTTCTTTTTGTTTTTCTTGTCATAATTCTCCTTAAAGTCTTTTTGGAAAAGTATTGATTAAAATTTAAAAAAAATTGACATCTAAAATATTTATTGCATTGTGTCCATTGTCTTGTAGACGCAACTGTTTCTCTTAAATAAGATCAAGTACTACTTTCACACGTTAAATTTGTTGCGTTGCATTCGTGCTAGCTTTGAAGCTAAATGTTCAAAAAGCTTCTCTTTTCAATGGCTGCCTAGCAAGGGGAGGGTTCTAACTGTTCTTCAGAAGTGATACTTGTGTTACTTGATACTTGAAAATGATATACAGTACTTTCATAACTCACCACCAAGGCAACTGCGGATCAAAAGTTGCTGTGGTTGTTGCTGTTGTTGTGCAACAAGTTTACGATTTCTTAATGATTCATTCAAGTGCATCCATTACACTACAGTACAACGATTCGCCACCAGATGTCAGACAATGCAAACGGTGCAAGAGTGCCTCTTGACTCGCAACTGTAAGTTGCTTCCAACATCTCTGAACACTGTCTAGTTTGTAGTGATTTGGAAAGTGGCATCTGTTTCGGTTTTACAGAGGGCAACCCCGCGTTCAACTTTCACTCCGACGACATTCTGTTTAACATAAAAACGTTAAGTGATGCACACAACGGACTATTTAATTATTCAATGTAAAAGTAAAATGACTCTGCGGAAACTGTCGAGGAAAAATCTGCCTCAATAAATGTACATAATTAATCCTATGATTTAGATGTTTTAAGACATTAAGTAAAAATGAAACCAATAAGAAAACTAAAATGAGCATCTGTGTAAATTATGTGAGTAATTTTTCATTAGTGCATGCTTACTGTAGAGTAGTAGGATTTTAAAAAAATGTTTAAATACACTCATTAAAATCCAACCAATCCACCTATTTTCTGTACCCATGCAGCTGACTTCAAGCGGACGCTCTGGACTGCTTGCCAGCAATCACAAACTGAAGGGACAGAAAACACACATTCACATTTACAAAGTTAACAATGGGAATTTTAGAGTCTTTAATGAAGCAAATGAGCATGTGTTCAGTATGTGGGAAGAAGCAGAGATACTTGGTGAAAACACACAAGCACATAAAAATGCAAATTCCACTCAGTTTCAAACCCCGAACCTCAGAACTGTGAGGCAGAGACGCTAACCACTAATGCCATGTGCTGTCCATCACAACCAACCAGCCATTCCTTGATCAAGGATACTGTTAGAGAGAATGAGAGTTTGAACTTTTCACATTTCAATGGAATGACAGCTAGTTCACCACCTTAGCCATTCTGCGAATGCTATACTGGTAGTGCGGTATACCCCCATTCCCAAAAAACGAACAAACAAACAAAAAAAAGAACCTTAAATTTATCTCAATGTTAAATCTACAAGTAAACTCATTAAAAGCATCCGAATCATGTGCAAACATTGGATTAGAGGACAGTATTTAAAACTCAGTTTGGCCGAATACAAAGCCTTTGTCTTGTACAGTGACATGCCTGTAACTGTAGCAAAGTACAGTATAACAAAGGCCGATAAACATGTTTATTGAATCGGTGATTCAATGAACACAATCAGAAGAGCACATACAGTACACAGATGTTTCCTGTGCTTCACTGAGGTCAGAGCACTGTTGTGTCTCCAGAACATGTTTAAAAACAGGATGAAAAACAAACAACGCAAATGTGATTACTGTTGTGTGAGGGTTTTGCACTTTGAACAGCGATATAAACCATTTCTTGTTTGTACTGTACTGTTGTCCTGACATGTATTACATACAATATAGACTGTGTTGGAGCCCAATTACAGGCTCCAATTCTGTACGGACATAAAGTGACTCTGCCGTCTTTAAATTTCAGACAAGAGAAACTGACTTAGAAAAAACAATAGATAGGATGAGACATTTTTAGTTTCCAGCCAATTACGGTGGAGGGGTCAAGTTCTTTCAATTTGGCTGATAGGGTGACTAGGCCTTCGGAACAGTGTCAAAGTGCCCTGAACCAAGGCACTGACCCCAAGTTGAAATAATTGATTTTTAAGACCTATTTTATCAGTATTGTTAATCCACTATTTGGCCATCGTTGGAGCTATAGGGGCTCCAAATCTTACACCTGTAGTTGTGTTGTCACAGTAGTTCAGAATACCATTGCATCGTTATTCACTGGGAAATGGATTAGGCTCTAAATGACACACTCGTACCTTGGGCCTCTCTTTTTCGTGACGCATCCACTTCTTTGCATAACACTTACTCCCATTAGGGGTACTGGTGAGTTGGAGCCTATACCAGCTGCCTTTGGGCAAGAGACACGAGGCACACTGACTTCACTTCTATTGGCAACTTATTCCATTTGCGTGCAGCATAACAGCTAATGCTGCTTCACCATGTTAGCTTTGCACTCTGAGCTCCACCAATTGAGCCGAATGTGCAAAACTAATTAGCCAGTCCCTCAACAATGAGGAGGGCCGTTATGACTATAAACTGAAATAAATGTATGACTGCCTCATATACGTTTTTTTTTTCAAAATATTATTATATTTATTTTAGATGGGAAATTTGAAACAAAAAAAATTCAATGTTTTTAAAAGTGAAAACAATTTGCAATTTGGGTATTTTAGCAAGAAACATCAAGTCAATCCACGTAATTTGTTATTGTGGGCCACATAAGATGATGTGGCATCCTGGATCTGGCCCCCCGGGCCTTAAGTTGTGCTCGAGTTGTTCTCTGATGTGTGGCTAAATTTTTAGCAATGAATGCATGAAACCTGAGTAAAATGTCTTTTTTTTTCAAGTGCAGTACATTTTTCCGCTTTCAGTTATTTCACTACATTCATTAAATTACAATTAAGTTGGATTTGATTTTTAAGTACATTTTATGAAATCTTTAAGAATTGTTTGTTTTTAAACATTTAGGCCTCTGTGGAATTTTTATTTAAGTTTTGAGAGCAATATTTGTAAATTCCATAATTTGTAGGTACAGTTTTTACGTTCTTATTTTCAAGCACCGTGTTAAAGCCTCATAATGTTTTCCAGGGTTACAAATATGCCTTCTGGGAATAAAATCGCTGCCTTGTTTTTGATGAATATTTTTATTACTCCACTGTATTTTAATGTTGGCCATCATGGCGGTACTCGTAGAGCAAAGTATTTTTGCGGAGCGGTGCATAGAGTTTGAGAACCACTAGCTAAAATACAGATCATAAACAAACTGCAAGACTGCTTGACTATCTCGCCCGCGCGTGCCCGCGTGTGCGCGTGAGCGTCATCCCTCGGAGGCTGTGAGCGTCTGTGCTGTGCTGTGCTGTGCTCGGCGCTGTGCTCGGCTCACAGCTAGCAATGGCGCTGCGGGCTGTCCAGCTCCTCTCTCCGCGTCTGCTTCTCGCCGCGGCTTGGCTTTTGCTCGCTAGCGGACCCCAGCCGATTCTGTCCTGTCCGAGTCGGTGTTTATGTTTCCGAACCACTGTGCGATGTATGCATCTGAATCTGGAAACAGTACCGGCTGTCTCTCCGCAGACCACCATTCTGTAAGTCGCGCCCGATTTTCTTTTCTCTTCACTCAAACGGCAACGAGAGAGCCGAGATTGTGCATGCTAACTGAACCATTTCCGTCCAACATTTAAACCCTCGTGATAACCATTATTGTCCATCTTTTTTCTTTTTGTTTGTTTGTTTGTTTGTTTTTTTAAGTTGCAGTGTCGTAAGCAACTTTCTCGACCACTGATTTCACGTTGCGCACAAATGCTTTTGAAAGTGGTGGTATCTCTTCCAATATGTCCCAGGAAGTTTTCAACACCTGCTGGTGAGTTTAGCTGTTGAACGCTGGAGTCTGGAGGGGTTAATAGTCAGGGTTTTTGGGGTCGCACAGCTGCTGAAGGGGCGCTGCTTGAACAATGTGGAGTGTGAAAGTCAGTCAGTGGGGGTTCCAGCGGCAATAGACATGCTTTTGCTGGTTGCTTGAATTTGGAAGGTTCGAATACCCTCGTTGAAGGACACTACTGACCACTGTGTGATTGAGTTATTGTTATGGAGCAGTTGGCTTCCTCGTGGATTTTTTTTTTTTTTTTGCTGTTGTTGCTGTTGAGCAACCTCCAACTGGGTCCCAAAGCGGCTCCCAAAGCCGCAGCGACCCGGTTACCTGCAGACCCAGTTGCCGGCTGTTGACTGGGAACTGTTCGTAGCCCGAAGGCACGCCCAACACCGCTTGGAGGTCTTTCCTGAGTTGGGCTGTTGCTGTTGTTGCTTTTGTTCTACTCTATCCCTGAGGGAAGGAAAACTGTACTTGTCATTCGTGAAAGATTTGTTACTGTGCCCTAGACATCCAGAAGATGACAATGTCTAGTATTGTAACTTCAGGGTTACAGTAGCCTGTCGCTGGTGTGTAAAACCTCAAAGGAACTGTTTTTGTTCCCGACACCTTTTAAAATGGGAACATATTGATCTTGCATTATTCATAACTGGTAATGTGTAGAAAAATCAAAAGCCGAAAGTCAAACAAGAACAGTGTAGATTTTCGAGACTCTACTCAATCATGATTTTGGAGCCGATGTCCGAGCAGCGAGTTCAACAAAGAAACAATAACGGATAATCAATCTGATCAGAAGATGGACCATTCTTTCCAACCGATTGAAGCAACTTGTTACTCCCCCCCCCCCCCAATTTTCCTGCTGTAGACTACAAATTTCCCCAGTGTGGGACAAATAAAGTTTATCTTATCTTATCTTATCTTATCTTATCTTATCTTAATTATTGGACAGTCAACTTTTATGGGGGATTGGGACCTGGCGCATGAATAGGCACAATTTGCGTAAAACCGTCACCCATTGAAATGCATTGTGGAAAAATAATAACAGTGTAACCTTAAACATTTTCCCCAAGACGTTGATAAACATCATTCAAAACATAGAAAATTCGGTTGTGGGGACCAAGCCCCCCCCCCCTCGCCCCCCCCAAAAAAAAACTAAAAAATAAATCTCAAAAATTGGGGAGAAAATTTTGAAAAAAATATCCGACGAGAAAAAAAAAAAGAAATAGACTAAATTTACTTGCAATACAAAATATTTATTTATTTAAGCAAAAAGCTTGAAATCGACGAACATGATTTGCCTTCATGGACCACACAATCCTATACCTTTTTAGCCCTAAAACGAAAACAGTTACTTTGAATATCCTGAAACTTCCTTGCCTACGGGGTCAATTAGCACAGATAATATCAGCTTGGGAATGTACCTGCACCATTTTCAGCCCTGAAAACGTCAAGCGCTTCAGGATGACGCTGACTGGGAGAAAGGACTCACACAGAACCACTTTTTCTGACATTATCTACTGCTAATGACATATAAATGGAATGGAACCCACAAAGGAACTGCTTATGTACTCTTGACCTCCTTATTAGGGAACATACCGGGACTTTTTTTAAACTTGAAAATGTACAAAAAGATAACATTGAACTTCAATATTACCTCAATGTCATATATTAGTGCAGCCTGTCCTTTGCAAGACAGCAATTGAGTCCGACTGAACCCCTTTCTGACTGAGTGCACCTAGCTGAATAGCTCCCCTTTTCACACTGGAGTCAATACAGACGCCAATCAAGCCAACTCCTCAAATACATTGCCGCCTTTGTGTGGAATTGGCACTGGGATCCAGTGTCGAAAGGTCCAATGCACTGACCTATTAATAGTTACACTCTGCCAGGAAACAGGAGGACAAAGAGGCATCTTAGTCAGCTTGAACCGAACCAGCCACGATCCAGAAAATGGCCTTGTTCTTTAACATCTGGTGCCACCCCATGACAGCCTTGCAGTGAACTCATGGTCCAGCCCAGACCAGACCAAAACAGCCTAGACACACCCCACACCTCACCCCCGCCCATCCTTTGCCACTGCAATAAGAGTTTTGTTTAGGTGTTCGAGCAGGATGTCTAAATTTGTTGCAGGGTTGATACAACACAAGTGCATGTTGTCATTTCCTGGATGCTTTCATGCTTGAAAGCTTTGAAGTCAAAGCCACTCGTTGGCTCTCCTCCCGTCTGTTATCAGGTCAGGACATGAATACCTGGCTGCCTGATATTTCACACACAGCTGACCCTGTGCAGTAGAAATAATTTAAGAAAAAAGTCTGTTGCCCCTGCAAAAACATCTATTGGCGTGTATTAAATGCAAATAATTTATAATGGAGTCAAGCACTCCCCTTTCAAGTACTGTCTACCATTTATTAGTGGTAGAACAAAAAACATATGTGAATCGCATAATCGGTTTTGATTTAAAAGATGTCAGTGTATCAAATCAAACCAAATGAAATTGTTCCACAAATATATTGAGATGTGCATCTACTCTATTGAATCGAATAGAATCGTAATCTCTGAATCAAATTGTTCCACTTAAAAATGAACCGTCCTTGAATCATATGGCGCCTCATGTGTCGAGATATTGAATCGTCTTCATAGGCGAGATGCACACTCCTACTCTCTCTCCCTCTCTCTCTCCCTCTCTCTCTCTCTATTTTTTTTTTGTTTGTTTTGTTCAAGTAACAAATAGTTACTCAATAACAGCTTGGGATCTCCCCCGGAAGAGTTGTGTTGGTGGATTCCCTACTAAAGCTGCTTCTTCTGCTGCCGGACCCCAGATCAGCAGTAGCAAATGGATGGATGGGTGATATGTAACTGATTTAAGATTTTACTGTCATTATTTTATTTTTTTCCAAAATTGGGTGAAATATATATTTTTTCATAGGAAAATAGAATGATGTTTACACTACTGGTTAGCTGGAAATACATTATATTTATATATTCTCAATGAATGCTGGGTTTGTTGTTCGGTAGTGTATATCGTACTGGTAATTGGGTGCAAATATTTGTTGTTTAAAGGCTACATAATTATGATCAATGGTACTATTTGAGCAGTCCAATTAAAGCAATATAATGAATCTTATATGTTCATTTTCAAAAAAAACAACGAACAAAACAAAACAAAAAATGGCACTAAAACACTCAGGCTTGCTGCCAAACACTTTTCTTCAAGATCTTTGCAGGAAACGGTGATGTTTTTCCCTCAGTATTTTTTCTGGCAGCCACGTGTTTTTCAGCTGTTTTCTCTTGGGATTCTAGGCATGCTAGTACATTATATTCCCTCACAATAATGACTCATCGGTATAGTTTCTCAAGGATTTGGATCAGAGATATATTTTTCCAACATTGGATTGGATGTTTTAATGTCTGTTTGTACCAGTACAAGTACTGGGCTGCTGGTGAAATTACCTTCGAATTGAGTTGTGGATTTTAAGTGATTTTGTTTGCATTACTAGTAGCAATAGCATGTTGATCACATTGTGATTTAATATTTTGGGAGGGATTTGTATTGGCTTCTTAGTGCATCATCATATTGCACTAGTTAATTGCATCGCACAAGGGGGAAGCCCAGGGATGCACTGGATTCCACCTTGATTTATTTGTTGCTCAGAAACAATGCTGTAGTATTGTGACCCTACTAAAGGGCAACAATGCATAAACATGAATAAATGTGCAGCTGACCCCCACATATGATGACAATTCCCCTATTTGCAGATGTATTTCCAATATTCAAAAAAGTAAATATTTTTTAAGATAGTCATCCATCCATTTTCCGAACCGCTTATTCTCACATGGGCCGGGGGCGTGTCGGGGACTATATCAGCTGTCTTTGATGCGTACGTGGGTTACGCCCTGAAATGGTTGCCAGCCAGTAAGTTTTTTTTTTTTTTTTAATGAAAAAACGTTTTTCAGTCAGACTCAATGACTATTTTTTAGCTAGAAAGCTTATTGGAGTTTTTTTTTTTTTTTGTTTTTTTAACAGGAAATTTTCTGGGTGGTTAAAATTAATTAAAACTTCGCTGGCATGCTCATGCATTGTACATAATTACCTGGTTAGTAGTAGTTGTTCAAATGATTAAACAGGTTTGTTGTGTTGCCCGGTTCGGAGGCACCTTACCCATTGGCTTAATTTGCTCCACGTCACTTTAAAGGGAACCTTGATTGTAATAACGTGAGCTTTGTGTGTGTTATTTGGTTTGCACAAATCATTTCCAGTTTAATACATTTTGTAGAAACCTTATTTGAATATATATTACCATTGTTGTTTTTGTGGATGCATTCTGGATAGTGACATAACATGGTTGCGCGCTGTTTTTAGCAGTTACAGTAGTGTGTTAGGAGTGACGAACACCTCTGTTCAGCCTTTTCAATTCAAACCAAAGCGTGGTCAAATTGAAAATGTCACATTGATATCAAATGTTGATGAAAATGTCAAATTGATGTCTTGTTCACCTGAGTAGCTGTGGTCCACGAGTCGGACATGCATGTCTCTGTCTCTGTTTCTGTTTGTTTCCTCCGTTGCAAATTCGGTGTCCAGTGGCAGGGCTGCAGTTACTGCAGAAGAAGCTTGGTTCATGGTGAGCACCGCGCGTAAAAAGAGTCTGGCCAACTCGCTTTGGAGGCATAATCTTGCAGCCCAGCCTCCGTGACACACACTATGATACAGTACACCCTCAA